TTTCCTGCATTAATGGGCAAACCATGCCATTCTCTCGTCCTCGGTAAAACAATTTCAATTAACTTGTCGAGAAATGTGTACATGGCGGCACCTTTGAGTGATACTTTGCACGCGATAGGCATTCCTGTGGGTGGTAGGACCAGAAGTGAAAAATTCTCGATTCACAACAATCTTGCAAAAATCACATAATTTCCATGCATATTTGCTTACCAGGTCTTAATTTCCAATTGGCAACACCATGCTTAGAATAAACTACCGCAGGCAGCTCGGAAGTAATGGAATACAATGTCATTATGCCATTCAACAAAGCTTCCTTTCTCTGTAGACTCTCCTTGACCATACAGTGTAAATCAATCTTGTCCAATTGTGGTATAGTCTTCACCGAACTCGGTGGTCTTTTAGGCTTGATCGGTTTCTTCCCTCTTGGTGGGGGTGTTGGTCTATTCTTCAAATATGGATTTTCCAACGCTGCCGCTGCTGCTTCGTCAGCCGCTTGCAATTGTCGAGCGCGCTCCTCAACTTCAGCTTTTATCATTTCTTTTGTCTTGTGTCTGTAGGTCATTACCATAAGATCTTCTGCAAGGGTGTTGTGGTAGAATTCTTCGAATCGAATTAAACCAGTTCGTCCAGTATAAAAGTCGGGATCGGTTGGGAGATTCATTGGTGGTTTCGGTTTAGGTATGCGAACTTTCTTGCGGCGTTTGTAATGGATATTACGACTTTGTAGGAAGTAAGGTATTGGAAGTACTGTAACATTTTTGGAAAAAGCGAAACAAGTTTGTTTGAGCATTTTCCAACCGAGATCCTGATAATAAACTTTTTATTAGGCCCAGCAAATCAGGGGTCAAAAAATTTTTAAATAAACCGCGTGATTTTCATGTGATTCGTACTATCACTATGTAATTTTTGTTGTCTACTGTGAACAGAATATAATGCTTTCTATAGGAGAGCAGATAATTTTCTTGTAAAATCAATCGCAAAAGCCACCTTATTATTATCACTTTGACTCAAACAAATTGATTTTCCCCAGTGAATTTTACTGATCGGAGTTCTCCTCAGCTTCACGCTTTATTATACACTCGTCAAAATAAACGTCACGACATAAATCAAAAGATTGAATTTAGTCGAGCCTAAAAAAAGGCATAATAATAACAATAAATTAAGTAAACCACTCGGCAAACGAAGTTACTTGCT